TCCCCTGGAGAAGGGAATGGCAATCCACTCCATTATTCTTGCCTGGAGAATTCCATGGACAGAGGAGTGACTAAGACTTTGACTTTCACCTTCATTTTTCAGTTCTGTATCCTTGCTGATTTTCTGTCTACTAATTCTATTGACTACTGAGAGGTGTATTGAAGTCTTCAACTGTAATTTTGAATGTGTCTGTTCTTTCAATCTGTCAGTTTTTTCATTATGTATTCTGAAGTTCTGTCTTTCTAACACTCTGAGTAAGGTTCATACACACTAAAAATTGTTATGCCATCTTGGTGACCTGACCCTCCTGTCATTATGTGGGGGTCTCTCTTTATCCCACCCTGTTAATTTTCTCCGCTTTGATGTCTACTTAATGGACTTCCCAGGTGGCTCAGGCGGTAAAGCCTCTGTCTACAATGTGGGAGGCCTGGGTTCAATCCCTGGGTTGGGAAGATCCCTTGGAGAAGGAAATGGCAATCCACTCCAGTACTATTACCTGGAAAATCCCATGGACAGAGGAGTCTTGTAGGCTACAGTCCATGGGGTTGCAAAGAGTCAGACACGACTAAGCAAAATGAGTCAGTCATATCTTGTCTGAAAGTCTACTTTTTATTTGGATCAGTGTTTTCATAATATACCTTTTCCCATCTTTTTATTCTTAACTTATTTGTGTAATATTTGAAATGTAGGCAGCATATATTTGGGTCCTTTTTTTTTAATCCAGTCTGACAATCTCTGTTTCTTAATTGGTATATTTAGACCATTTAAATTTAATGTATTTATTGATATATGATATATTTAGATATAAGTCTACCATTTTGTTATTTTCTATTTGTTCCTTCTGGTTTTTATTTCTTTGATTTCCTGTTTCTGTCTTATCTGGGGTTCTTTGAACATTTTTGGCATCCTTTTTAAATTTCCCTATTGTGTTTTCTCTATATCTCTTTGTATGTTTTTTAATGGCTGCTGTAGAAATTATAGTATCATATTTACCTTTTTCAATCTATTTGGAATCAATATCTTTTATTTTTACATTGATTTTTAAAAAGCTGTTTATTTGGATTTTTTTGTCACACTTCATGGCAGGCATGGTATTGGTTCCCCAACGAGGGATTGAACCCTTGCCCCCTTCACTGAAAGTTTGGAGCCCCAACCATTTATCACATTAAGTGAAATGTAGAAACCTTACCGTCACATAGGCCCCTTTCCTCTCTTTGGTTTATTTTGTAGTTGTCTTATGCTGTACTTCTACATACATCAAAAACTGTACCAGACAATGTTATAATTTTTAGTTTCAGTTCACCTAGGATATTTTCAAGGGCTCAAAAGGAGAAGAATAGTCTTTTATATTTATCCAGATATTTATCATTTCTGTAATTTCTTCATTTCTAATGTTTCAAGTCTCATTTGTTCCCCCAGATCTCATTTAGATCTCATTTTCCTTCTGCCTGAGAAAAATTATTTCAGTAATCCTTTAGAGCAGATTCACTGGCAGTAGATTTCCCTAGCTTTCTTTAATCTGAAAATATCTTTATCTCACCTTCTATACTTCACCTATACTTCCTGAGGTATACTTTTGTAGGCTGCCAATGTCTGGGCTGACAGTCCATTTTTTTCATCAATTTTTAAATGTTTCACTTTTTTCTGGTTTCCATGGTTTCTGATGAGAAATGCACAGTCATTGAATTATTATTTCCCTACAAACAATATTTAGTCTTTCTCTTACTGATTTCCCAGATTTTTTCTTTGTTTTTAGTTTACCACAATTTGATTATAATGTGACTAGGTATGGATTTCTTTGAGTTTAGCTTCTTTGAGATTCTCTGGACTTCTTGAATCTGCAGGTTTGTGGATCTCACCAAATTTGGAACATTTTCAGCCATTTCTTCAAATGTTTTGTCTGCATGATACTTTCTCCTTTCCTTCTGGAATTTCAGTGACACAAATGTTAGAGATTTCATTGTTTTGTTACCCCTGAAGTTCTGTTCTTGAGATTTTTCCTTTGGACTTTTCAGATTGCATAGTCTTTGTTTGGTCCCTTGAAGTTCTCTGACTCTTTATTCTACTGTTGAGCCCATTCAGTGAGTTCTTTTGTTTCTGTCGCTGTATTTTTCAGCTCTACAATTTTTCAATTATTTTTTAACACCTTGTGTCTTTTCTGAGATTTTCTGTCTTTGCATGTATTTCAAAGTAGTTTGTCTTTACTTTTGGGGGCATTTTGTGATAGCTTCCTTAAAGTCTTTGTGAGATGATTCCAACATCTGTGTCATCTCAGAGTTGGTATCTATTAATTGCATTATGCAATCTGATGAGATTTTCCTGGTTTTCATATGCCTAGTAATTTTGAATTGTATTCTGGACACTTTAGTATTATGAGACACTGAGTCTTTAAATCCTGTGGAGAATGTTGATATTTTTATCAGATAATCAACCCACTGGGGTTCAGGTTCTGGGAATTGTGATTGCTTGGTCAGCTCAGTTTTCAAAGCCTTTGTAATGCTCTTTGCTTCTGTCTTATGTGTGACACACAGTGGCCAGTCTGAAACTTGGGTGGTGCTCAATCCATAGTTTAGTCCTCAAAGTTTAAGTGTGCAGATTCATGCATGGGCTCAGGGGTGTGCCCAGGAGTTCATAAGCAAATTTAAGGGTCACTTTCCCGAGCTTTTTCCTCTCCATAATACCCCTGGTACTTTCCAGATCTCTAAGGAGCCTTTCTTTTGTCCTCCAGACAGAAAACTTGGGCTTCACTTAACTCACTATGTGCTGCACTTCCAGCAGATGTCCCCATCTGGGGTCAAATGGTGGGAAGATAGAGCTCGAGGTGTTCACCCCCATCCTCTTGAGCTACAGTTCCTCCAACTGAAGAAAGTTCCCCTCTCTGTTTTCATTTGTTGCTGGAGCCTGTTGCCACCACCATAGGACTGTTTGGGGCTTGTGCATAACAGAGTGAAGAAAAAGAAAGAAAAGGAGAAATAAGAAAAACAGAATTTCTACCCTCTCTCAGAGTATTAAGACACCCTTTTTCAGCATCTCAAACCAGAACTGGAGGATTCCTCCTAGAGCTCTTAGTTGACATCAATGCCCACTGCTGAATTTCAGGCTGCTTTGAGTTTAAACCAGTGAATAGCCAAGGGGAAGATACTGGTAAACTCAGTATTATTTGGGAGATACTTCAAATTCTGGTCTTCTTCCCCACACCACCTGCTACTGTTTACTTTTCAAAGTCCTCAAATAGTTGTTCCAGGCATTCCATCCAGGTTTTATAACTGCATTCCGTGGGAGACACAAAATGGAGTGCTTATTCCATCTTACCAAGAACTAGAACTCCCAATACAGATTTTTGAGTAGGAGGATTAAGATGCTCAAAATTCACATTTAGAAAAACTGTGGCAGAATTGAATAGGATGGATTAGAAGGAACGAGATGGGAGGCCCATTAGGAATCTACTGTAGTAAGAACTTAAACTAGTGGGACAAAATTGACAATGCAGAAAAACAGTGTTGGGGAGGGGGTGCTTAGCAGAGCAAAAGAACTCATTTCACACTTATTACCTCCTTATAGAATACATTAACTCAGCATTATTGTCCCAGTGATATAACCCATTGGGAGTTGCTAATCTGGAAGGTCAGAGAGTTCACTCAATTTCTTAAACAGCTTCATTGATATATAATCTACATGCCATACACTTCGCTTGTTTAAAGTGTAGAGTTCAATGAAGTTTGGTATATTTACAGAATTATGCAACCATCACCATAATGTAATTTTAGAAAAGCTTCATCACTCCAAAAAGAAACCTTAAACCCAGTAGCAGCCACTCTTATCCCCTACCCACATCCCACTAAGGAGTCCCCTTCTCCTCACCTCAGTTCAGTTCAGTCACTCAGTCACATCCAACTCTTTGTGACCCCAGGGACAACAGGCCTCCCTGTCCATCACCAACTCCAAGAGTTTACTCAAACTCGTGTCCATTGAGTCGGTGATACCATCCAACCATCTCATCCTGTTGTCCCCTTCTCTTCTGCCTTCAGTCTTTCCCAGCATCAGTGTCTTTTCCAATGAGTCAGCTCTTTGCATCAGGTGACCTTAATATGGGAGCTTGAGCTTCAGCTTCAGCATCAGTTCTTCCAATGAATATTCAGGACTGATTTCCTTTAGGATGGACTGGTTGGATCTCCTTGCAGTCCAAGGGACTCTCAAGAGTCTTCTCCGTCACCACAGTTCAAAAGCATCAATTCTTCAGTGCTCAGCTTTCTTTACGGTCCAACTCTCACATCCACACATGACTATTGGAGAAACCATAGCTTTGACTACACAGACCTTTGCTGATAAAGTAATGTCTTTGCTTTTTAATATGGTGTCTAGGTTGGTCATAGCTTCTCTTCCAAGGAACAAGTGTCTTTTAATTTCATGGCAGCCATCAGAGCATCTGCAGTGATTTTGGAGCCCAAGAGAATAGTCTTTCACTGTTTCCATTGTTTCCCCGTCTGTTAGCCATGAAGTGATGGGACCGGATGCCTTGATCTTATTTTTTGAATGTTGAGTTTTAAGCCAGCTTTTTCATGGTCCTCTTTCACTTTCATCAAGAGACTCTTTAGTTCCTCTTCTCTTTCTGCCATAAGGGTAGTGTCATCTGTATATCTAAGGTTGTTGATGTTTCTCTCGGCAATCTTGATTCCAGCTTGTGCTTCATCCAGCCTGACATTTCACATGATGTACTCTGCATATAAGTTAAATAAGCAGGGTGTCGATATACAGCCTTGATGTACTTCTTTCCCAATTTTGAACCAGGCCATTGTTCCATATCTGGTTGTGTTGCTTCTTGACCTTTATACAGATTTCTCAGGAGGCAGGTAAGGTGATCTGATGTTCACATTCCTTTAAAAATTTTACACAGTTTGTTGTGATCCACACAGTCAAAGGCTTTAGTGTAGTCAATGAAGCAGCAGTAGATGTTTTTCTGGAATTCTCTTGCTTTTTCTTTGGTTCAATGGCAATATCAAATGTATTTTCTTTCTCTACAAATATGGTTATTCTGGACATTTTTTAAAAAATGGAATCATAAAATATGTTGTCTTTTGTGAGTAGCTTCATTCACTTAGTATAATGTTTTCATATTTCACCTATGTAGTAGCATGTGTCAGTATCTCACTCCTTTTTATTATTGAATAACATCTTATTGTATAGATAGACCACAATTTATTTATCTGTCCACCAATTGGTGAACATTAGGGCTGTTTTCATTTTTTGACTATAATGATTAATGCTCCTATACATTAGGAGCATTAATACACAAATCATACATTTGTGTATGATTTTTTTGTTTGGACCTTTCAATTTGGAGTTGCTGGGTCAGATGGTAGTTCAGTGTTTAACATTTTGAAGAAATGCTTGTTTTCCTTAGCAGCTGTGCTATTTACATTCTCACTAGCAATGTGTGAGTGTTCTCAACATCCTGATTTACCAAGAAAGGTAGAGTAACTTTCCAGGCTCACAAAACAGATTGGTGGGATTAAAACCCATGCTTCTTAACTCATAAACCTGTGATAATAAGTGACAGAAACTAGAATAGAAACCCCAGTGGACTTAGAAAACCTACCAGTTGAAAATTTTTTGCTACTTTAGGAAAAGAGGTCAAACAATTTTTATACCAGTGTAAGTCCCCTCTTCAAATACATTATGAGTTTTTCCTTTAAGATATTTTCAAATCTATTGTTAAAGGTACATTAATAGATTATTTTATAAATTATTGTAGTCACTGTTATTTGTTCAGATTTTCTCCAAAGTTTATTGCTATTATGGCCGCTCACCCTAGACCATCATGATCCTTAGAATCATGGATCATGAGAGCTGATCATCTGGCCCAGCCCCCTCTTGTTACAAATGAAGAAACTGCTGGACATGGTCCTAAGGATCTCAGCAAACACTGGTACCATGTTAGGACATGCTGGGGGACTCTACATCCTCCCCTGAAGTGTTCTAAATGGATCACCCACTATTCTCTGCTCCTCTGGCTTTTACTCCAGGTGCAACATCAGTTACTTAGAAGAATGGCTTAAAGATAAGAATTTACAGAACAACTTGGCCAAGGAAACTTTGGAGCCTCTCTCACAGGCAGCATGGTTGCTTCAGGTGAAGAAGACCACCGACAGTGATGCCAAGGAGATCTACGAACGCTGTACGTCCCTGTCTGCCGTGCAGGTAATCGGGTTTGCGCAGTGTCTCCCTGATCGTCACCAGCAGGTCATGTGACTGGCATCCTCTTTCCTGGCTTAGCTGGCATGAGGTGCATCTGCATCTCTCTGTGCTCTTTGGGGAGCATACATATCTCCATGGCCCACCCACTTATCTAACAAGCATTTATTAAATACTAACTCTAGACCTTGAAAACCTAAAAGCACGTATGGTACATTCCCTGCCCACAAAACCACAGATGTGTGTGTGTGGGGAGAGGATGTAGGAGTGGAGAAGGAGTCTGGAAATGGGGAATTACCTCTCAGTCATCGAATTAAATGATGTCCTTGCTCCCATCTATGCTCTTCTCAGCTTGTTTTCTCTTTTCTTGGGGAAAAAAATAGCACATGGTTCCTAGAGCCAAATTACAGTATTAAGGAACCACTTGTGGTTCCCAGCTGTTCCCAGACCACTGGAACCATCATTTCATGGACAAAGTTACCCTTTTCGTGGCCTTATACCATCTTATGCATTGTTTGCAGATCATAAAGATTCTTAATTCATACACACCTATAGATGACTTTGAAAAAAGAGTGACTCCATCCTTCGTTCGCAAAGTGCAGGTGAGATGCTTAAGCTGTGCCTTTCAATTTTTAGTATGAGAAAGTGATATTTAATTACCACTGTAGAAGTCCAGAATTAACGTACATGCACCAAATATACAAAGGAAAGGCACACAGGAAAAGTGGCAGAAATCTTCCCTGTCCAATGCCCCGTTTTCAGAACCCATCTTAGCCCTCGTGGGAAAGGACTGAAAGCACCAAATCCATGGCTCGCAGTGTACACTCCTTCAGCATGTCTTGTTTCCCATCAGTCTTTGCGTATAGACAAGGGAACAGAGGCTGAATGGAAGCAGCGAACCTATGTACTCATTTTTTCTTATTTCAATCCCTGAAGTTTCTTTCCCAGTGTCTCAGAGCAGCAGTTCTCAAAGTTTCATTCAGGAGTCTTTGGTGAGGTGGGGAAGAGTGGATCCTTGAGATAATTTCAGAGAGTCTGCAAAGTCTTCCTTTTTCCAAATATATACCTGTGTGAGGCAGACTTTTCTTCACACACTTCAACCAGAATAGCAAATCACAACAGGTGAATGCAGAAGCAGATACAAGATTCCACCAGTCATATTAAGTCAGTCATTAAAAAGATTTACAAAATTATAAAAAATGATACTACTTCTCAGTAGTTTTTTTTTTAATTTTCTTTCAAATTTGATTTATTTTTCAATTAAAATATGTTAATATGTATTGGGCTTTTCTTGTTATTTTAATGAATTAATAAGTATTTTAAATTATTGCTTTATTACTAATATGAAAAATATCCATGGCTCTAACCACATGCACAAAAGCTGTTTGGGGTCCTCCGTAATTTAAGATTTTAAAGGGGTCCTGAGACCAAAAGGTTTGCAAACCACCGAACTAAAGATAATTATGAATGCAATAAAAATTTAATACTGAGCTCCACTCATGAGCAGAGAATTATGCCATGAGAATAGGTAAGAATAGAAATTAGATCGATTTACAGTCAGCCCATCCTGGGGGAAATTAACTTCTGAAGTGAAAAAGAGCAAGTAAGTCTTCATGAGAGCTGGCCTGGAAGACCCAAATAGACCATTCACCTTGTGCTGTGCTGTTGAAAAGCCCTTTTGTGTGTTATCTCACATGATTTTGAAAGGAGTTTTTCACTGTTGTGTTTTCCTTACTCTTGACTTCCAGACAGCAACACAGCAGAGTGCACTAGTTTCCTTATTCATTTTCCCCCTGGTTCTCATTTTAGGCTCTCCTAAACAGCCGAGAGGATTCATCACACCTGATGTTGGACACCAAATACCTCTTTCAAGTCACATTTCCTTTCACTCCCTCTCCACATGCTCTGGAAATGATCCAAATCCCCAGCAGTTTTAAGCTTGGCTTTCTCAATAGGTTATAGCAGGAGAAAAGAGCATAAGTGCACTTTTCTTTCAGAAGCTCAGTGAAGCTCAAATAAGAAGGATGTGGCTTACACCTAATTGGAACTGGAGATGCTTTGGAATGTGATTTAATGAAGAAAATAAGAATTCTCCCAAATGGGCCACATCTCCTCTTGCTCATGGTGATGGTGCTGCCGCTGTCATCTTGTAAGAATTAACACACACCAGTTGAGGTTGGAAAGGCCACGTCTACTTTTGGAATCTCTGCCAAATTTTACTAGAATTCCTGCAATACTCATATTTTCTGCCTGGTGCCTCTATCTTGTGACAAGGGTCCACCCAGTGAGAGTGAGACTTTCAGGACACAGCTTATCCTGTTTTCTAAGGTTCATGTGAAGCCCAGATATTTATGAAGCCACAAATGGGTTCCAGGATTGTCTTTCAAATAATCCCATTTGACCATGACCCATCAGAAATTCTCTCACCCTCACACTTGCTTGAAAAGGGTGGGGGTGCTTCACCAACTCTTTTTACTAAAGACACTTCTGCATTAAAAAATATTTATTTCAGGCCCCTGTAGTTTTTAAGAGAATATTCAATTCAATCTGAAATAAATCATGAAGTATTTTATGTAAATATTCATTTAAAACTAATATATCATTCAAGTCTAACTCCCACATCATTTATCATCTCCTCCAAAAGAACATATCATTGAATTTTCTCTGCCAACATATTTGCCATAACTTTTCATTGTTTAATATCTTTCATACAATGACTTAAAAAAAATAGTTTGAAAAGGCAACCTAAATGATTTTTTCTGTCTTATCAGCATTCAAATATGTTTTAAGATTTCCTCATAAAAATAACTGAAAAATTATGTCAGCTCCTTCTTTTGAGAAATCTCCCAAGTTTTGTGGGAACTGACTATTCCTTGTTCCCCCAGGCTTCCTTATTTCTTCCTTGCAGAGCATAAATCATGACTTGATAAGCACTCCCAGCCCGTGGATTCAGTGCTCTTCCACACCTCCCCAAGTCCCAGGCCATGGCTGTGATTCTGTAATATGGGCATATATCTTAGGGGTGGAAATAATACATGATGATGAATCAACATCACCCTTCCAATATGTAATAATGTCTTTTCATATCATAAATGACTTAATTTAGTTTGCTCAGATATATTGTATATGAAGAAATGAGAAGTAGAACTTTGTAAAATTTTAATCAATAAAATTACCACATGATCTGGGTCAAATTCTCTTATTTGCCAGGAGATTACATTTTTCCTAAGTGCACAAGGTTTATGCTTTTATTTAAGGGTCATACTTAAAGATGCTGGAAACGTTACAGATTCATAACACCTCATAAAATATATATAAAATTTTTTAGCGAGGAAGTAAATATGCCCTCCTCGGCCGTGTCTCCATTTAGCTCCCAGACTGTGCCAGCGTTAGGGGCTACTTGGCAGAGAGTTGGCTGGGTTTTGATTCACACAGATTGCCTTCTTTGTGCCCCTTCCAGGTCTCCCCTTCACCACAAGGAGCCCATCACTCTTCCTGTTCGGCTCCCATAACTCATGCGTCCTGTCTTAGAGCACCCATCATGGGCTATAGGACAGTAACATTGGCTGTTCCCTCCACTACCCTGTGAGCTCCTAGAGAAAAGATCATCTCAGTGCTAGCAAGTGGAGCTTCAGGAGCAGAGTCCTACTGGAAGCGGCAGGGTTTGTAGGGGGTCAGTCTTGGGAAAGAGTAGATATTGTTTGAAGACACGGGGACCTGCAGAGCCTGAAAAGCTTACACATGGCGAAAGGGGCAGGGGAGCTCTCACCGCACTGTCTTGATCCGTTCTACAAAGCCAAAGGTGGCAAGGGTGGCCAAACCATGAGGTACCGATGGGGTGAGGGCTGTGAAAAGGCAGGAGCTGCTGCTAACCTTCAGTAACAGGTAAATGTCGGGGTCACTCAGTGAAGCAGGGTGTGAATTCATGGGGGTCAAACCTGCCAAACTCTGCTTCCTGCAGAGAGCAGAGAACTGAGCTCTAAAAACTGGTCCACGGGGTTCCTAAGGGAACCTGGCAGTATGGATGGTCAGAAGGCCTAAAGGGTGAGTGAGTGATGCAACCTGCAGCGCGTGCCCCAGCTATAAACACAGAGCCGGAGGTGGGAAGGAACAGAGCCGCTGAGCTGTCAAGTCCAGATAAGGAGATTAGTTAGATGGATGCAGTTGCCTTAGCACCTTGAAGCTGCAGCTCTAACTTCTCCACATTCTGCTGATCGGTTCCAAGCGTTGACTCTCTGGAAGGTATGTATGTGTTAACATTAGAGTGCTCAGGCTTCCTTAAATGCTCAGAAAAGTGTTCAGATGTGTGCATACCAAGTTGTTGACAGGGGTCTTTCTGGGCAGTGAGAGTATAGGTAAAGGATGTTATGGTAGTTAATCTGTATGTTCTAATTTTTCCACATTTCACATGTATTTCTTCTGAAATAGGTGCTTTGTTTTCAAAATATATTTAGTATATTTAGTATATTTTAGTATATTTAGTATCAGGGGCAAATTAAGCATCTGTACAATTTAGTCAGTTTTAAAAACTGACCCACATAACACTTCACATGTCAACGTAAATCTTGGAGTGCAGCGTATGGAATAGAAAGAGGTTTCTAACACTAAACATTACACAGTTTTAAAGCTTGTGAGACTCACCCATCCATTGCCATGTGTATCAGCAGTTTATTTTTTTTTATTAGATGAACATATCACAATTTATGTATCTATCTAAATTGATGAATATTTGGGTTTTTCCAGCTTGGGGCTATTATGATTAAAACTATTATGACATTCTTATTCATGTTTTTTTTTTCTTTTTTGAGGATGTAAGTATTCATTTCTGTTGACTATATATCAAGGAGTAAAATGATAGGTTTACATAGCTTTAGTGGGTCTTATCAATCAGTTTTCCAGTGTGGTTGTACCAGCTTATTCTCTTACCAGCTGAAGTGGTCCAGTTCTCTACATTCTCACCCACACTTCACGCCATCAGTCTTTTTACTCTTAGTTGTTCTGGTGGATAAATAGTGGATTCACAGTGTGTTTTAACTTGCATTTCATTGACGCCTAATGATGTTGAGCACCTCTTTATCTGTTTATTGACCAAATGAATATCTGCATTTGTTAAGTGTCCAAGTTTTTGCCCACTTAAAAATAATCTGTACTGAGATACAATTGCACACAACATAAAACTATTTTATAGCATACATTTCAGTGGTTTTTAGTATATTCACAAGCAAATTACATTATCTAACTCTAGAAAATTTCCGTCACCCCTAAAAAGAAACCCCATACTCATTAAGCAGTCACTCTAACCCCCTACCTCCCACCTGTTGGCAACCTCTAATCTATTCTCTGTCTCTGTGCACTTGCCTATCCTGGATGTATTGTATAAATGGAATCATAATTTGTGGCCTTTTTCATCTGACTTATTTCACTTAGCATAAACTTTTCAAGGTTCATCTATGTTGTAGCACATCAGAACTTCACCTTTTTTTAATTGCCAAATAAGAGTCTACTGTATGAACAGACCACATTTTCTTTATTCATTCCTCAGTTGATGGACATGTTAGTTGTTTCCACTTTGGCTTAAATGCTGCTACAGATAATTCGTGTGTAAATTTTTATGGGCACATATGTATTTGATGGTCTTGGAATATGCCCAGGAGTAAATCTGCTTGGTCACTTGGTAGCAACCATGTTTAACTTCTTGAGTAACTGCTAAGCTGTTTTCCACAGAGGCAGCAACATTTTACATTCCCACCAGCAGAGTATGAGGGTAATTTTGCCCATTTTTAATTGGGTCAATGAAGCACAATTTTAAAAGTGAAAACTGGGGGTACCCTATATATTCTACAGTAGGATGTTGGCTTATTAAACTGTGATACTCCATCACTCCATAGTATAACATACTACTAAAGCTATTACCAAAAAACAGATAGCTCTGTAAACAGTAACAGAATAAGTTAGGTAAAAAAAACAAGTGGCTAACAGTTCCATTTATGTAACTAACAAGCTTTATCTATGGCATCTGGCAACTCTGGAAGAATAGCCTCCAAACTCAGGAAACTGAATATAGGGCAGGTAATGGGAACTTTCACTTTTGACTTTCTATCCTTGGCACTGACTTTTTAAAAAAATAATCATGGGGTAGTAGGCGATTTGGTAAATTTTTTTGGAACTGTGTATTTAAGTGAAACATTTCAAAGAAATTTTGTGCTTGGCTTAGGGTTAGGTAACTCCTACCACAGAGCAATCTCATGTCAGAATTTGTTAAAATGTTTTTTTTTCTTGTTGCAGTACCCACTGAAGCTTTTGCTCTAGCTGTGAAAAGTTCCCTCATCATAAAAAAATATTATTTTCAATAAGTACAATAGACTGTACTAAAATTAAATTTAGCCCATGTTATAAAAAATAAATGGAAAATACCAGGATGTAAAAATATAAAGAGTGCACACGAACAGTATAACCCCTGGTCCTAAAAATCTATTCCTGCATAGCTAAAATGTGAAATGGAGTCTCTCTGGGCAATGGGATTATGGGTGATTGTTTTCTTCCTTATACCTTTCTGATTTTTCCAAATTTTCTACAATGAGCATGTATAACATTTATAGTTTTAAAATGCTATAATCTTCCAAGTTTACTTTGCCACTTGCTCATGTTCAACCAACCAGATCTAAAATGCTAGCTATACAATATGATTTATGGTTGATATGACTCAAGACTTGTGATCTCCATTTAAAAATTGGTGTTTTCCAAGAATATTCAATGACATGCAAAGATGAAAACACTATTAAGCTAAAAACTAAAGTTCAAAATTGCATATGGCATGTAATTCCAATTTTTTTAATGTATACACTAAATGTATACTTAAATGTATACATTTATTCTAGAATCTCACTATGGAGATTCTAGAATAAAACATAAAATGCTAACAGAGGTCAGTTACTTGTTAGAACAAGGCATGTTGATGACAGATTTTCCCTCTTCGTGTCCTTCTATTTCCAATTATGTATAATGAACATGTACCTCTCTTATAATGTGAAAAAAATATAAAATTCAGTATGAGAAAAGTCTCTATCCAGATTTGGAATATTGGCAATTTTTAAAAAATTTTATTGACGTATAGTTAATTTATAATTTTGTATTAGTTTCAAGTGTACAGCAAAGCGAATCAGTTATACATATATCCACTCCTTTTTAGATTCTTTCCCCTATAGATCATTACAGAGTACTGAGTTCCCTGTGCTATATAGTAGGTGCTTATTCATTATCTACGTTATATACGGTAGTATGTATATGTCGATCCCAATCTCCCAATGTATCCTTCCCCCTGATCCCCCGGTAACCATAAATTTGTTTTCTACATCCATGACTCTGCTTCTGTTTTATAAATAAGTTTGTTTCTTGCTTAAAAAAAAAGATCCCACATATAAATGATATCATATGATAAGTCTTTCTGTGTGGCAATTTTCCTGCTTCTCTCTTTGTGGGAGTCGATCTCCCATGATTCCTAGTCATCCTTCTATTCCTTCTGCACTTAGTTCCTCGGTTCCTCTCACCTTCCATTCCTGCGGCTACTACTCTGTCCAGAGCTTACTTCCTCTTCTCCAGTACCTGATAACAGTCTCTCAACCTAATGGATTTTCCTGCTGTACACTCTCTCTCTGACCTACTTGCAGAAGTGCAAATGCTGGAATAATCCACTTGAATGACGTCACTCCCGGCTGAAAACCCGTGGCTCACCTTCCTAATGCTATTACTTGGAGCACGACCTTGTGGCTGGCCCCCTTGGCAGGTTTGGGCAGTGGCGGGGGTTGGGGGAGGCGGGGGCAGCATTACCAGGCCCCCACCCCAGGCTAGCCCCTGGTGGCAGGCCCTTTCCCATTCTTTAACTCTTTCTGTGACAAGGCAGAGCAGCTCGGTGGTGCTGGCTCTGTGGTAAGGGTCGTGGAGTTCCTCTGCGTAAGATTCAGGCTCCATCACTGACCTTGCGCTTGTTAACCCCTCAGTATCTCCCTTGTGGTAACTCAGATGTCCTGCTTCCCTCCCTGAGTGGCTGTGAGAGGTCAGGGCCAGCACTCCGCAGTGGTCAGTAGCTGATTCCCTTGGGGTCCCTCGTCCTTGGGGAACTGCCTTCTACGCCTTTGTTCCTTAGAGACCTCAAGAATGCTGCAGCCACCTCTCGGCAGTGGGGGTGCAC